GTTGCCGGTGTTCTACTCGGGCATTTGGCAAACATTTTTCGTCTCTTCTTAAAAAAAATTTTATTGCCACCGTGCCGCCCACCTTGACGCCACCACTGCCGCCACGCCATGTTTTTAGCGCAAAGACTGCGAATAACTTGCCACCCCACTCGCGGACGCCGGATCGACATGTCCACGTCGATAGCATGACATTCTCGTACGTCAACTCACGCATCCGTGTCCGAAATAAAATGAGGTTCAATTCAAACAAAATGTGACCCGGCCATTGAACGCATGGTGCATATATCTAGTTAGAATTAGAAAAAATATCTTTGTATAATAATTTTAACTGGTATACCGATAATAATAATATAAACATGGCAGTATTGTCATACCTTTGTTTGCTGCATGTTTTCAGTTATGGTTAAGGGCATCCTGGCATTTGTCAAGAACCCCAAAATTCGAAAACATGTGTGTACAAAATGTCATTAATTAATTTACATGGATTTTGTAGATGTCATTGTTCACAAACCTTCTAGAATATTCAGTTTTGCACTTCTGTACTTCTCCTTGCCTAATGTTTTACACTACTGCACTTCTGCAGTTGATACTGTATACTCTACTAGTTATTTTGAAATGAAGATTTATGCATAAAACTAAACATGACGACAATGGTTACGTTAGAAATAACTCCAGTTAATTAAGGCCTTGTTTAGTTTCAAAAAAAAAGTATAAGGGTATTCCAAAAGTCATACCTTTGTTTGCTGCATGTTTTCAGTTAGGGCATCACATCGAATCTTGCGTGTGTACGTGCATGTCATTAATTAAATGTGGATTTTGTAGAAAAAAACCTAATTTCACAGTTGGTTGGAAACTTCTCCTTGAGATGAACGTTTTAAGCCTAATTAGTCCATGATTGAACACTAATTGTCAAATAAAAACGAAATGCTACAGTAGCCAAATTCCAAAATTTTGCGGAACTAAACCAGGCTTAAATTGAAGCTCCTCTTCTTCGTGAACTTGTAGTTGATGTGCTTGTGACATGCTACTTGTCAACAGGTCCCTTTACACGCTTTTGCTCGCCTATTTCTATTTCTATTTAGATTATAATTTGAACACTTAATAACATCTCAATTGCTTCAAAGTCCTAGATTTTCACTTGAAAATGTTGTATAAAATGTGAACCATGTCATAGATACATACCTATTTGTTGCATATATACATATGATGATATGAAACGTTGTTGCTACGCTAAAACCATGTAGATGGTTTAGGCACGTAGATGATGATGTGCTTTAGCATTGCAAGTTCACAAGAACTATGGGTTAGTGCCTTAGCCACACTTTGAAATTGAGCCCCCTCCTGTATTTTTATCATGGATCGGCCATTGAACCCCAGGATCAACGAAGCAACAATTGTACCGATTCTAAGTCTTGACATCACCGGTCTTATAGTTCTCCTGAAAAACACCCATCCTAATTGGTCGCTGGTAACTATAAAGTCGACAATCCTCACATCCTCCAACACTGACAACACCGGCACCAATCAAAGATGACCAACTTGACCTGGCTGAAACATATGTTACATGTTCAAAAATGGTGCAAACTTCATTGTGTGTGTTGGGGGGTGGGGTGGGGGATGCTCTAGCCCCCCTAGCGCTGCCAAACCTTTGGAACCCCCACCCCTCTTACCCCATCGCTAGATCCGCCCATGGCCATATCCTGTCATGTCGATGTCGCACACCAAGCCAGCGACATCACCACCAAGATCTTCTTCAATGTTGCGGTGTACGGCGCTCATGCTCCGGTCGTAGTCTCGTTCTCGAACTGGGGACCGAGCTTGGCCTTCCAGGGCTTTCTCAAGCCAGATGTTCTAGTACCTGGACTGAACATCGTGTCGGCGGCACCACCAGCCCCGGGATCACCGAGCCTGCAGTCGTCCCGATTCCAAGTGATGTCGGGGACTTCCATGGCAGCTCTGCACAACGCCGGCCTCGTAGCTCTCCTCATTCCTCAGAGCGCCCATCCTGATTGCGAGCAGCAAGTAGGCAGCAAGATTTTTCGTCGACAGCCTTGGCTCAATTATCTAACAATCATGGTGCCACTCCTGCAAGAACCATACGGTGTGTACCGGACTGTAACAATTGTTGGTCCGGCGGCGGAGACATACAGGGCATTGATCTATGAGCCGGCGGACTCCATACAAGTGACTGTCTTCCCTGATACTCTGACATTCTCTGCACCTGGTGAGAAGAAGTCGTTGGTGACGGTGAATGGCAAAGGATACCATGCAACACAAGGCACTGTGATAGAAGTCAGCCTCACTTGGGTTTCTGCAACGCACAGTGTGCGAGACCCAGTCAATTCGGATGCAGAATTATCGGCCATTTGTGCCAAATACTATTCAGTCAGCTGTTGATCTGTTCTTAATTCGTCCCATCTATCATCAAGAGAAAGTAATTCGTCCCATCAAGAACAACTTTTTTTTAGCTTGTAGTTTGTACTTTGGTTATTTTTAATAAAATTCTGTAGGGGCCTCGGCCCCCTCCGGTTCCCTCAAAAAAAAAAAGAATTTTTTTTATAGATAAGGGAATCAAGAGAAAGTAATTAGGCGTGTGATCCGTTCGTTACCCTGTCTGCTCCTCGTTCTTACGAAATAAAAGTGACTAGCTGTGATGTGCAAGTTAACAAAGAAAAAGGGCAGATGATGTGTAATAAATTTGCAAGTACGATGGATGTCCTAATAAAATCTGCGCGCCTCTGCACACGTGACCGAGAGCACGCGCGTTCGTGCTTTGCCGCGCGGCGGCGCCAACGGGCACTGTGGTCGGCAAACAGGCAGGCACGCAACCTAAGTCGTGCACGCTGGCCCCCGGCGACCAGGGGCCAATGGCCTGCCAGAGTGGGGTGGAGGTGCCAAGTTTCTCCAGCAGGAGACGAAGCAGCGGACTCCTTCCCCAGCTCCTCATCCGTGACCGTGGGCACGGCCACAACGGCAGCAGCTTGTCAGTTTCTCCTGTGCTTCTCGCGCCTTGCCCCAGCCAGAGCACCATGGACAGCCCCGCCACGATCCGGACCAAGGATCAACGAACCGTGCATAACGTCCGGTCCATATAAGTAAGAACAACTGATTCAATGATCAGTAGTAGTTCTGCTTTTAATTACCGCGTAGGCCGACGGCGACGAGTAAAGCCGGATGTCGAGGCCGAGGCTCCAACCAGTGCGGCATGCATGTCCCAGCCCCTGTACTGGAAGCAGAGCGCAAGCAGAGCGACGCCCAAGAGACACCAGCGCGGCCAGGGATGGAGTAGTGGCACGGGAACACCTCCCTGAACCCTGAATCTGGCCTGGATGGACAGCCAGACCGCGTAGCTGAAGCAGATGGCGGTGGCGAGGCGAGGAACGAGCCCTCGATCCGGCCACGGCCAGCGGCGGTGGGAGGTGTCATAGATATAGATTCAAGATCCATCATCCATATACATTGTGGTTACCCTAACAGCAGTTTGTTTGGTTCCCATTCATATTATATAGGGATATAGGGAAGATGTTTGTTTGCACGTGTCCTGCAGTTTTCGCTGTCACAAGGGAAAGCACTCCTTCGCACGCGCGCCGTCCGCACCCAGCGCCGCCTTAGCCCACGCGCGTGTCGTCACTCGCCGCGAACGCCTCCGGCCAGAGCCGACGTGCCTAGTATCTGGCAACGCCGCCACCGCCTCCCAGTTCTTGGGTTCGGTGACGTCGTCTCCTTCGCCATCTGTTCGTTGCAACTTGGAACGTGGTGTGCATGGCCGCGCGCGCTGCCTGCTATTCTCATCCAGTCTGCCGGCCACTACACTCCGCCGGCCGCCGAGGACGCTACCAAGCTGGGGCTCGCCCTCGATCGGCGTCTGCTTCGTTGGACGCTATGTCCGACTCCGACACGGCGGATGGCAACTCCGATCCGGTTGCTGCGAGGTAGTATTGGCCGACGGCGCGCGCCGGGCAAAATTTCTCACGTACGCGCACTCCGATGCAATTCCTTGGACCAAGATGATTCAAACCGTTAAAGATTCGTCGTGTGGCAATACTAGTTCGATACGGTTAAGTATTCATAATAATAATTAGAGTAAAATGCACCCTGGTTACTTAAACTATTGAGGCATTACCATCTGGCCGGGCAAAAATCTCTCACGTACGCGGGTACTCTAACTAAAAAACCTCCCACTTGGGTAGCCAAACCATTGAACCATTACCATCTGGAGTGCATTCAACCAATTTATCTTTACAAAATGGATGAATAGTCGTATTTTTGTAAAAAAATAATTAGAGCTCAAACATTCTAAAAATTTTTGCCGTAGCCTCTTAGGCCACTTGTACATTTACCTATTTTAATATAAAACTATGGAAGTTCATTTATTAATTAAAAGAGGTAATTTTTAAAAATTACATCTTTTAATTCATAAATCCAAGTTTCCATAAATTTTCCTTGGTAGAGTAAATAGAGGCTACAAAAAAAAATTAGAATTGTTTGAGCTCTAATTATTTTTTTATAAAATAACAATTTCAGCACTATTCATCCATTTTTTTAGGCTAAAAAAAAAAAAAAAAAATTGGAGCTCCGCGCCCTAAAATACTCGTTCAGCACTACATCCATTTTCATTGCAAAAAAGAATCAAAATTCACTCTCCCACCCATCAGATGGTAATAGCCCAATAGTTGAAATACCCAAGTAGGAGGTTTTTTAGTTAGAGTACCCAAATAGTAATGCCCCATAGTTTAAGTACCCAGGTGGTAGATTTTTTAGTTCGAGTACCTAATGCCCTAATAGTTTGTGCATTTTACTCTAATAATTATATATACGAGTTACGAGCTAGCGTCGTGGTAGCGGTCTTCGACAACAGCACGAGCGATCGATGACAATGTCGGCGTCTTCCTCTGCCGCTGGTGCACGCCGCGTTCAACAGCAACGCCACCTACTTCGTCGCGGCCACGGCGTCATGCATCCGCGTATTCTCCTGCGCCCCGCTGAAGCACGCGTTCAGCATGGGCTTCGTCCCGTCCCCGGGCGCCGGCTCCCGGGTGATCACCGCCTACCTGGCACCGTCCGGCACGCTCGCCGCCGTCGTGTTCAGGCCGGATCCCTCGGCCGCCGCACCCGACGCAGACGCCGACGACGAGGGCGACAGGATCAGGTACTGCAGGTACGTCCTGCGCGGCGAGATGCTGGGCGACGACATAAGCCCCTCCACGTCCTCCTCGTGCCGCGTCCGCGCCGTCCGCCACGCGGGCGGCCACGTCCTCGTCGCCGGCGACGGCAAGGCGGCGCTCCCCTACACGACGTCGGGGCGCGCTGTGAGGCGGTGCCTCGAGGTGGACACGGGGACCAACCCGCTCGGGGTGTGCGCGCTGGCGGAGGCGCGCGATGGCAAGACGGTCGTCCTCGCCTGCCCGCGCCCGGCCAAGGGGCAGGTGCAGGTGCAGGTCTGCCGCCGGGGCACCAGCGGCGGCGGCAGCGTCGACGTGCACGCGCATAGCTCCAGCATCGTCTGCGTCGCGCTGTCTCGCGACGGCAGGCTGCTCGCCACCGCCAGCTCCAAGGGCACGGTCGTCCGCATCTTCACCGCCGCCGACGGTAACAAGGTCGACGAGGTACGCTAGCTATATATATGCATGGCACACCCGCTAATTCGTTAGTCATTTTGTCCTAAAAAAACAAATCTTTTTTCGATGAATTGTTAATCTTTTTGGGACACATATTAGTTATAATAATATAAAAGAAATCAACAAAATCTTAACCGACTTTTGGAATATTCCTTCTACGTATAACAACGCCCGCAGCTTTGCCGCTGATTCCCTCTCGACGAGAGAGAGGAAACTAACTAAAACAATGGCGTCCTCCGTCGCTAGGACGTGGACGAGGCCGGCGCCCACGCTATCGCATCCTCTCGTCTACCTATCCTTTAGCCACGACGCGTCCTGCGTCATAGCGGCGGACGCCTCCACCGTGCACTGGCTCAGCTGCGACACCTTCGCCCTGCGCGGCCTTTACCAGGAGAGACACGCCAGCAGGGCCGTCGTCGCCGCTTGCGGCGACATGCTCAACGAGAAGGCGTCCACCTGCGCCGTCGTGACGACGACTCGCGCCGCCGCACGCCCTTCTGGCGGCTCCGAGACGACGACGTTCGCCATCCGGCGCTGGAGGCCAGGCTACCTGAACTACCACTGGCGCTACGACGAGTGGGCGGCGGACATCGAGGCCGTCGAGGTGCGGGCGATAGGCGTCCGCGGCGACAAGACCTTCCTCGTTCTCGACGGCCGCGTGGACGTGTACGGGCTCGCCGGGGACGGCCGCGTGCATGTGCTCCACCGGGTGGAAACGTGCAGCGCCAGGCCCCTCTGCGCCGCGTCGCGGGCCGCGCCGGTGGCGATCGCGTACACCGGCTCGGAGGTCGGCGAGGTGCGCGTGGAGCGGTGGGCGGCGGCGGCGGGCGGGTTCGCGCCGCTGTCGTCCTTCCGTGCGCACTCGTCGCGGCTTGGGTGCGTGGCCGTGTCCTGGGACGGCCGGTTCGTTGCCACGGCCAGCTTCAAGGGCACCATCGTGCGCGTCTTCCACGCCGCCGATGGCATGTTGCTTCGAGAGGTCAGATCGTTTTATATAGTTTATTAGGTGACTAGATCATAGTGGCGAATCTAGCTGAGAACATCGTCAGATTATCAGGTTTAACTTCAATGTAGAATAGGGTTTTTTCTTAAATCATAGTAATATTTTTACTAAACGTTAATTTTTCATACTAATTTTGTTTGTGGCCACTCTGAAATCTGAATGTTTTTTCTTAAATCTGATCTGAATGCGTTTGCATCCCTCAGTCGAGCACACATTGCCTGAAAGATTCTATTTTGAAGATGGCTATAGCTAGTGAATCTCATCAGGCACATTGTTCATGTCGTTGGATGCAGCTACGAAGAGGCGCTGACAGAGCAGACGTCTACAGCATGGCGTTCTCCCCCGACTCCAAGTGGCTTGCCGTCTCCAGCGACAAGGGGACGATCCACGTCTTCAGCGTCAACGTGGATGTGTCCTCGTCGTCGCCGGCACAGGAGGACATCCACAACCCTGACAGTGACAGTCCCAATGCAGGCTCTGCACTGAACGCCAAGCAACCATCGTGGTATTTCTTCAGTGGTAAGTACAACTTCTTTGGTCAACTCAAGTGGTTTCAAAATACATCTATGTTTAGCCTGAAGAAGGTAGCTTGAACCAATGAAATATGCATGGCTCATCTATGTTTTGTTTGTTTAGCCTGAAGAATGTGTTGTTTCTGCACCTTTTTTTATGTATAAATGTAAGTAAGAAGGTGGCCGGTAAAGCTAGGAGTGCCTGAAACTCGTATACTTGCTGCAGGTTTTGTGCCAGGATATTTCAGGCAAGATGGTTCACTTGCAAAGTTCCGCTTGCGTGAAGGCGTGAAGTACGTGGTGGCCTTCAGCCATCATGAGCCAAACACCGTCCTCGTCATCGGCATGGATGGAAGGTGAGTCGATCTCATGAGATTAAGACCGCTCTAAATTGACATTTTTTCTGTTGTTCCTTCATATTGAAGTAGCTTGTGATGTTTTTTTTTTTTTGTGAGACGCTTGTGATGTTTTCTGACTGTACGTTGTGTAGCTTCTACCGCTGCGAGTTCGATCCGGTGAAAGGAAGTGACATGAAACAAGTGGAATACAGGAACTTCATGAAGATGAAATGATGATGGCCCAACAGATGGCTATTATGTTGCTGATGGATGCTATTTGTAGTTTGTGCAATCTTCTGATTGGAATCTGGCATTCATCAGTGTGACCAAGAGTCCAAGACCAATTTTAATGGTTGTATATATATCGTTAGTTTGTATAAAGTCTAAGTAGAAGATGAGACACCTAGTACATCAATATATGCAATCTACGCTATTGAAATTGCCGCTGCATTGTCATCTATCTAGAGTCTAAACAAAAGATGAGACACCTACATCAATCTATGCTATCGACGAGAGTGGTATAATGTAAATGAAATGTTCACACAAGTCAAGAACCAACTGTGTCGTGTATGCAATTGCACGCCGGGGTCAATAAGTGGTACCATTACGTAGGTTATATAAAAACTTGAATGTATGGCCAGCCACCACTATATATATGTTATGTAAAGCAAGAATATGGGCAGCTTTTGAAACTTGGAATGCCGACGTTTTCCAAATATTGATCTTGATTACATGGGAACTATGTGCTTATTTGTGCGGTGGTGCTAGATGGACGCCTGCGCTACACTCCTGTTTCTCGCACTTGGGCCAGCACGCCCCTGCCCGAGCCTGCATTTCGTGCGCCCAAGTGGGGCCCGCGCCACCCGGACCGCGCGCAGGGACCGCTCGCGCCCCCTCCGCTTCTCACGCACATTGCAACATGTGTAACACCTGATCTACTTTTGCAACATCCAAATAAAATACTTGCAACATACGTCTAAAACATCTGAAACACTTGCAACATACGTATGAAACACTTACAAAATACCAGAAAAAACATGAAAACACGTGTGTAGCCATTGCAAACATCAAGATGAAACACTTGCAACATATGTATGAAAACACCTGAAACATTTGCATATATATATATGCAACATCCCGATCTAGATTTGCAACATCCAAATGAAACACTTGCAACATACGTCTTAAATAGATGAAATCATTTGGAACATACACTTGAAACATACGTGTATAGCCCGTTGCAATATGTGCAACATCCCGATCTACTTTTGCAACATCCTTATGAAATACTTACAACATACCTCTAAAGCATCTGAAAATTTTGAAAATGTACGCATGCAACATGCATCGTATCTCGGTGCGACCTCCGCCGTCTACATCGGGGCGCCGTAGCTGTAGCAGGAGGCGAGGCCGGAGGGCTTCCACACCAGGGCCCGACATTTCTCCTTGCGCGCAATGGCCTCAAGGTGGCTAGTCAAGGTCGAGGGAGCGGTCACCACGCTGCGTGGCGCTGGCGATGCCAAGTCGTCGAACGAAAGTGGACCACAGAGCGAAGCAGGCAAGGCGAGAAGCGATGGGGCGGTGCGGTGGAGCAGGGGAAGGAGCAACGCGGGATGCCCGTCGACAGCGGAGCGGAGCAGCAAGAGCAGGAGCAGCGGGCCGACGGAGCAGGAGCAGGTAGGGTCGCCATCGACGTACAGAGCAAAGCGGAGCAGGTCTCTCATCTCCTTCTCCTTTCATTATCCAACCGGCGCAACCGAATAGACGGACGTGGATACCGTAATAAAAAACGAGCGGACACAGAGGCATAGGTTTATTGGGCCAATATGCATGCCCACGCAGGAAGTAGCTTTTCCGTTGTCAGAAAAATATCATAGTCTCATTGTTCTTGTATCCATAAAAAGAAAAAATAGTACTAAAGTTAAAACATCACAAGAATAATATGGTACTCCCTCTATTTCAAATTATAAAACGTTTTGACTTATCTATATACATTTTTTTCTACGTCTTTTTTCTATATATAATTGTTTTATCTATACACTAGAAGTAGTTTATATGACCATCTATGCAAACGTTCTCAAACAATTAGAAAATATAAAACTCCACCCACATTCCATCAATAATATATACTGTGAAAATCAGGGCCGTCCAAACAGACGGCCAGGACTTTGATCCAACGGTCAAAGATCTGTTCGCCCAAACAAAATAAAATCACCTCCCACCCAAAAACCCTGCGCTCCGTCCCCAACCCACCTCCCGCCGCCGCCGACGCGCCATGAGGCCTCTCGACGAGAAGGAGACAACGCAAGTATTCGAGAAGCTGTTCAAATTCACAGGGCCGAACCTGAAGCACCTCCTGGATCGCCCCGCGGTGCAGGGCCCCGACGCGGAGCCCGGCCGCTACTGCCTCCGCCTCCACCGCAACCGCGTCGACTACGCCTCCGAGGCGCTGGTCCGCCGCGCCACCGCCGTGTCGCGCCCGCGCCTCGCCGGCGTGGGCACGCCCATCGGCAGGTTCACCCACCACGGCGCGTTCCACCTCACGGCCCACGCGCTCGACCTCCTCGCCGCGCACGCGCGCCGCCGCGTCTGGCTCAAGCCCGACACCGAGCGCTCCTTCCTCTTCGGCAGTTCCGTGCCCAAGTCCTCCCTCGCGCGCGTCACCGAGAACGCCAAGGCCGGGGACGGGGTGGTCGTCATGTCCATGGCCGACGTCCCGCTCGGGTTCGGCATCGCGGCGAGGTCGGCGCAGGACTGCAGGAAGGCCGACACCAGCGCCGTCGTCGTGCTGCACCAGGCGGGCGCCGGGGAGTACCTCCGCGAGGAGGAGGAGCTCATGTGAGGTGAGCGCAGACGCTTGGCTGATTAGAGTGAATCAATTCTGGAAGATTGTGCTTTGCTGTTGTGTTCCAAAGCTTGAGGCATAAATCTATGTATTGAACCATTAATTGCTGGCCTGGTTATGAGATGTGATGATTGCTGTCGCCAGCTTTCATCTTTGTTGGTGCTGATAGCTGCTTTCTCATGAGTAAATCCAATGGTGGTTTAGGATCAGATTACTTGCTGATTATGTGGAATTGATCAATCGAAGTAGTTTGTAGAAAATGACTGTTTCGAATGGTTGTTTTGGCATTCGATAGTAAGCTGTTTATAACGTGAGGAAATTTGACAGCACCGAGATAGCCGAGTTGATTGAAGGGATGTGTTAATACTCAATAGACTTCAAACCAATTGGAAGGCAGGAGTGCAGGATGAATAAGATGAATGGACAAGGAATGTTATGTCCTATTGTTCTGTTCAAGGCTTCATGTGCATGTGTATTGATGCACACTGAGTAGTTTCTATTATGTGATCACTTGGGGCGTGTATGGTTCATATTATAGCTCCTACAATTGCAAAGTATGTCTTGGTGTGGAGCTGTACTAGCTCATCATTTTAGAGTTCTCTACAACAGATCATCAACAGTTACCTGTGTATATATGTAAACAAACTTAAATTGAGTTGCATAGTCGAAGATGATGTTACATTTATGCCAAAAGATGGCCGTCCAATCTTTAGTCCAGCAGCCTTGATAAAGTAGTCTAGAACCTTGAAGCTATCTCCAACTTCATTTTCTTATTGTAACTTGAACCCATCAGATTGCTTAGCCAATGATGAGAGCTCAGTTCCTGCCAGTTGCAAAGGGATTTCCTTTTCCATCATGAACTTTTGATATGCTTGTTGGGTTGCAAGTTTGATGCTTTGACTCCTTTCAGCGTATGATTATCATAGCGTGCCATCACTTATCCATTGGGCTAAGGTGTATCGTGTATGATTACTTTTCAGTATCTGCCATGGAAATCTGTTTAAGAGCCATACTAGCAAATGTATCCCCTAAATATCGTCAGCTGTTCAGTGTATAGATCTCAGTGACTGTATAATTACTCACTCAGTAAGCTAGTACTGTATTCCATGACAACGTATAACATCTCGATGTACTAATAAATAGGTGTATTTATCATATTCCTGAATATGGCACTTGTAGATGTTGGTTTGAGATATCATGATTCTGATTTTCCACTATTGCCATGCTTGCAGGAGTAACATGGCTATGGAAAGATATCTGTTGCACTGACAATCTGTAAGCAGCTCTCCCATCAGTCTTCAAGCCTTCAAGGAGACAAGGATGCAGTTTTTACCTGGTGCAAGGAAAGGCTGGAAACCAGCATTAGAGTAGTTGGCATCTCCTAAAAAAACAGAGAGTTGATCTACCGTGCATCCTAATAGAAGCCTTGTCCTCAGGCAGATGTGGGTTTATAAATTACGTCACGTTGTAACCTGTGGAGTTTGTTAGTGCTAGCAGTGGTCTAATTCTCTGGGCTGTTGGAGTAGATGGTGAGCGCCCTTTTGAGTGCTTTTGTGTTCTTGTTATTCAAAAAGAGTGTTATACAGACTGATTGGAAAGGAAAACTGCTAACATAGATTGAGGTGAATTTGAATTTTTGAGATAAGCCATCGTCTTCTCTTTCTCTGTAGTAGAACTGTTGAAATGCACTGCTATGTGAACCTGATGCTATGTTGTCAGGTTGTTGCTGACGCTATGTTCTCAGGTTGTTGGCCCTAGACCAAGGCAAAGGCAAGGCCATCCCACCCGGCGTGATCATCTGTTTCACTTTCACTGTATCACTGTTTGTCTAGGGGAATATCGCCTCAGGAAAAGTAAAACCATGGCCCTTGCAAAAAGCAAAAAAAAAAAAAATGTCTAGGGGAATATCGGATCAGGAAATGTAAAACCATGGCGTTTGCAAAAAGCAAATTGCATAAAAATTTGTCTTGCGGAATATAGGCTCAGGAAATGTAAAACCATGGCGCTTGCAAAAAAAGAAATATTAAGTGCGCATCCGGGGAATCGAACCCCGGTCAGTACCGTGGGAGGGTACTATGATACCACTACACCAGATGCGCCTCTTGGATAAAGACTGTGTTTTGGTTTTATAATTGAGCATGAACATTGAGGCTTAGCTTGGCTGGAGCAGTCACCTTAGATCAGAGTAGCCGGGGCCCGGGACCGCATGAGAAATTTTATCTGGGGGTAAGACTGAAACGGCTGGCATATTGGAATGGATGGAGTGCATCTTATAAGACATGGCATCTGTCAGCAGTCTGATCTGATCTTCGGATGCTCCCTGTCATCGCCAGTTGCCAATGCGAGCCAAATGGACGACGTGCATGGCAGGTTGCACCCACCACACCAGTGCCGACGCTGACCGTGACCGAACCGGCCGTCATGCGCTGCACGCGTGTGCACGGGCGCTGGCCCGCTGCCGCCACCGCCACACCCCAAAGCGGAACGGCGGCGGCCAACCACCATTCGGCTGGCGGCCCGACAGCGCGGGGCGGGGGCAGCAAGTTGCGGCGGCCGGCGGCACCGGCAGGCACGGTGTGGTGTGGGAACGCGGGCCACGTGAAGGCCCCGACGCGCGATGCGCCTCCCCCGCGTCCACGGATGCACGTGACGGCCCTCGTGCGACAGCGCCTTCCGGGGCCCCTGTCTGTGCGGTGCCCACCCCACGGCCCGCAGGGCTTCGCGCGCTGCATATTCTGCCGTGGGCCCGCGGCCCGTGTGAATGAGGCTGACTATTATTGCCGCGCCGGCTGACTATTATTGCCGCGACGGCGACGTCCGCCGGTGGATCTGAATGGATCGCCGCGCCTGCCTTTTCTTTTTTATCCTCTATATATCTCTGTGCGCGATGCCGGTGCTATTCCGGGACGGAAAGATGCATGCAAATGCAATGGACAATTGGACTTGGACATGGTGTTGGCGATTGGAGATCAAGGGAATCTCTATCCCAGTGGCAATGCAATCCCGGACATTCAGAACCTCCAGGAACTTTCCAGACGCTTTGTGTGCACCTTTTATCCTCCTCTATATACTTCCTCTGTCTTAAAAAAAGCAACTCTATGTTTGAGGCGCGTTAAAAAAAATTAAACTTTATCAAATTTATAAAAACAATATTAATATTTATATCTCTAGATATGTTATTTTATAGTCAATCTAATGCTACTTATTATTCATCTATTCAGTATCCTATATGTTTATTTACGTGTGCAATTTAAAATTGTAGAAGCGAGAATTACATTTTTTTATGTGTATATATCCCACCGTTGTGTTGTTGAGGCCGCTCTTTCATATACTCTAGCTAGGTCTTACATTGTCAAGTACTACTTCAGTCTCCAGAAAGAATTAACGCCAGTCTAATTTTGTCTTAAGTCAAACAATCTTATACTATTATTAAGATTTATAGAAATGAGTATGTATATTTATAACTTAAAATACACTTATTTGATATCACAAATAGGGATATTTTTCAATATGAATTTAATCAAACTTAATGTAGTTCTAGTTAGATGCAAGGTGGGTTGTCCGCAAACATGCAAATGTACATACTGATGTGTAGTAACAATTCCTACTCCCTCTTATTTCATAAGTATTTTGTTTTACATTTGTGCGCAAGGGGATAAGGATGTACACCAAATGACCTATAAAGCAGGGCCAATGAAAAGAAGAGGATAAAGATACGTAGAAGTTCTAAAACAGCCTATATGTATAGAATTGGAGAGAATACAGCCGGTTTGTGGAGTATCACATTGCTGTTTGTTAGGCCAATAAGATAATTATTTGTTCTGTTTTTGTTCATCAGAGTATGTAGGCCCAAAATATGAATATGGCTTCTTACTTTTGGATACGAAGACAGTATATCTATATTTCTTCTTTCTTTTGAACTATATTCCATGTGTCCTATAAAAATATGCTATGGAGCACGCATTTAATAAGCATGATGCAGCAATTTACTGGGATTAGGAATAGCTTAATCGAGACTTATGAGAGTATATACGTACTATGTGTGCGTGGCTAATCAAAATCCGAGCTTGAAGAAACGTTCTTCTTTGTTCTTAATTTATTTATTCCCTCTGTTGCTATCTCACTAGAAAAGGCTTCTTGCTTATATTCCATCCCCAAGTTGCTGGTGCCTGAGTTGAGGTCTCGAGTAGATTATGCTGTGGAAATTGGAAAAGGCATACTATGTGCCGAATCCCTTTGTACAACACATGTTGCTGTCACATAGATGCGATGCGACATAGATAAACGTTTGGGCTATTTTTTCCCCCGAAAAAAAATGTGTACATTTATCGCTGCTCGGCGGTCACTGAAATGCCACTAAATTTCTGGTATAAAAGGTATAGCGTGGGTGGAAAGGTAAGTATTATAAATGCATGTGGAATTGCAAACTTAGGGCATACTTTTTTTTTTGACAAAAGCAAACATTTTATTGCCTTCTCACGGGTTCACCTGAGTCTCGAGTTACCCAGGAATATACAAACTCTTGGAGGGGGGCATACTTATTTGTTACCACTTATAAATTGTTTATAGTCAAAATAAGCTGAAGTTATTAGAAGCTAAACGGTATGTTTTTTTATTTGTAGCTTTTTCTTTACCACGTTTCTTCTCACAACCACATTTGTACTAAAAAGTAGAAGCTGGGTTAGAATAAGTTATTCAGATAGCTCTTTTCCTCCATTTATGCAACTTCTCATGAAAGTAGTTATCTGACCGCTCTATTAAACAGAGCTTTATTTGTTCCGATTGACACAATCGGCTTGCCCTATGAAGAGATATTGAAAAATAGCATATGAACATATCGAAGACTCAAGTGGTTAAAATATACATATCCTTTTTTATTGAGTATAGATATGTCGTATTATTATAAAAAAAAGATGCAACATTTAGTGTGTTGACAAGTTTCGATGCTCAAACTAGTTAACCAAACCCAAGTGCTAACTCGAGAGAAACACTTGTCG